ATGCCACCAGAGCTTCCACTATACCCATTAGCAGTCATTCATTACTTTCCCCAGCCCCTTCAACCCTAGGCAGCCACTAATTTACTTTCTGTGCCTATGGGTTTGCCTATTTTGGGCAATTCCTAGAAATGGAATCATTAAATATATAGTCTTGTGACTGGTTTCTTTCACTTAGCATAATATTTTCAAAGCCCCTTTTTTTTTTAATGGCTGAATAATATCCATTGCAGGGATATAATACATTCTGTTTATTCATTCATTATTTGGTAGACATTTGTTATTTCTACTTTTTGAAAATTTTGAATAAATCTACTATGAGCATTTATATACATTTCCTGAGATGAATCCCCTCAGCTTGCACAACCCTAACAATGAGGAGCTCATTACTGTATCTTGAGACTATCAGTTCCATGAGTGGGTAGCTTTGTTTAAATGTCTTTCCCCACCTGGGGTTCAAATCTCTCTTTCTCGCCTTGGTCTCAAGTCTGTCCTCTGTTAACTCAAAACTGCAAAATAATTGTCTCCTTCAGGTTGTTTTGATAGGACGGAGCAGAAGGAAAAATAATATATTTTTGAGAGTTGACCATGTTATGGGATCTGTTAGTGAGTCCATCACTACGGCTTTCAGGTCCTACGTGTCTTTTAGAGTTAATAATACATTTTTTAACCAAATTATTTTAAAACATTTCTATTTAAAAGGCAGAATATTGTAGTTCTAATATTTCAGATAGATAAGCACAGAATGAGCAGGGATAGCATTGCAAACTTTATATTCTTAAATGAAGCTTTTAATTAAGGTCTTCTTATTGGATTTTCTGTTAAGTGCTTTCACATGTATTTACCCCATATACTATAACTGAGAATAAGATATAGGAAGTCATTCTTCATTCATTCATTTAATATTTAAAAAAATGTTTGTTATGTACCAGGCACTCTGCTAGGCACTAGGCCCTAGGCACTAGGATTTCATGTGGTTTCTGTGCTTAACTTGAAGTCTAATGGGGAAGAACCAGAGTACTATGAGAGCCCAGAGGATTCCTCTAATTCAGCCTGCGGGACAGGGAAGACTTCTCAGAGGAGAGGATGCATAATCTGAGAGTCGAAGTCCAAGTCAGCTAGAGGAAGGGAGGCAGGGGTGCAAATAACCTAACAACACGAAGCTGACAAGTAGTAGGGGTGCTATCAAAGCTGACAAGTAGTAGGGGTGCTATTAAAGCTTCAAAGTCCAGTCCTCCCTCAATGTCACACCTCAAGGGACACACCTGGGCTTTTGGAGAAAGTTTCATGAAAAAAACTTATAAGAACCAACAGGACAGAAGAACAGACATGAGGGGATGTACTAAACTCCTGCTGATTTTCCACCACTAACTGCTTCTCTGGTGGTGCAGTGCCTAAGGCATTTGACTGCTAATCAAAAAGCTGGAGGTTCAAACCCACCAGCCACTCCTGAGAAGGAAGATTGGGCAATCTGCTTTCACAGAGATATTACCTCGAACCCAAAAAGGTCGCTATGAGTCGGAAACAACTTGGCGGCAGTAAGTAACTGCTTTTCTTGAAATTCCTTTAGTTTTTACAGTATAGAATTCTTTAGGATCTCTACCTATTTCTCTGACCCTTCTGTCCTCCCATCCCACAGGATTT